AGTTTAAAGTTTGTAAACTGTAGGTGACGTTTCTCCCAGAGAGAGGAACCGACATTCAAAGCAATCTAATTCTGTAAAAAGCTCCCTGGTGGGGGAGAATAATCAATAATGGGTGGTTTCAGTTATTAAATAAGCTGTATCCATCCGTAGTTGCAGCAAGTGACCTGTAATGAGCAACACAGTAGAAACTAAGTAATTAGAGTAGCTCAGAACCTTTCAACTGGCCTTTGTCAGAGACTCAAGCATCAGTGAGGCACTGGTCTGGGAAAGCTTGTAGCAACGCATTGTTCTGTAGATGACAGTAAGGGCACTAGTCGCCAGGAAAAAAAAAGGTTACATATAAGATGTCCCTCTAACACGTATATCCAATCTAGGGTGGTTCAGCTGGGTTATACTTTCCTGAGGGAAGTAACAACATATTGACTTCAGTGGCAGGATTGGTTCCTTTGTGGGCGAGAGGGACCCCTGCAGCTGAGAGTCTTAGTGAAGGTTTAAAAAAAAAAAAATCACTATGGGTTACCAGTTTAGTGCTAGGTCCTAGTCCCCTTACATAGTCCCAATGAGTTCAATGACAGTTCTCTGATGAATACAGCAAACTGGGTTTGATCCTTACGCTGAAGATGTTCATGACATATAGGAGACCATAAATATTTTGGGAGATTGTGCAGGTGCAATATTTTGGGTGTTTGAAAATTTATGGACACAGAAAACGTCGGCCTCTGGTTTAAATTCAGCCTTTGTGTAAGTGTAATTTACACTGCACTGCATAACTGTCTCTTTACACAAGTCTTAATTTGGCCCTCTAAGTGCACATCTCTTGAGTTATGCACTGCGCATCTCTAAACATGCACACTTTCTGTGACGGGTTCGGTCACAGAGACCCCCTTTCGGACTGTCACCTGATGTGCTGAAACTACCTCTGAGCCGTTTTCCCTGGCAGCTTGGGACTTCAGAACCCCGTCTTGTTGAACCAGACACGCTAGCCTGCTACAAACACAGACCCAGGTCTAGTCCACGCCCCCAAAGCTGCAGACTTAACTGAAAACAGCTCAGCAAGTACTCCTGTCTCCAGCACCCAGACACCCAGCTCCCAATGGGATCCAAACCCCAAATAAATCCGTTTTACTCTGTATAAAGCTTATACAGGGTAAACTCAAATTGTCCAACCTCTATAACACTGATAGAGTGATACGCACAGCTGTTTGCCCTCCCCCCCCCCAGGTATTAACCACTTACTCTGGGTTAATTAATAAACAAATGTGATTGTATTAAGTATAAAAAGTAGGATTTAAGTGATTTCAAGTAATAACAGACAGAACAAAGTAAGTTACCAAGCAAAATAAAACAAAACACACAAGTCTAAGCCTAATACATTAAGAAACTGAATACAGGTAAATCTCACCCTCAGAGATGTTCCAATACGCTTCTTTCACAGACTAGATTCCTTCCTAGTCTGGGCCCAATCCTTTCCCCGGTACAGTTCTTGTTAGTTCCAGCTCCGGTGGTAATTAGGGGATTTCTCATGACTGGCAGCCTCCTTTGTTCTGTTCCACCCCCTTTTATAACTTGGTACAAGGCGGGAATCTTTTGTCTCTCTGGATCCCCACCCCTCCTTCAAAATGGAAAAGCACCAGGTTTAAGATGGATTCCAGTTCAGGTGACATGATCACATGTCACTGAAAGACCTCCTCCTTCATTACCTAGTAGCTGGAAGACATGTACATAAGAAGGCTTGCAGGCAACAAACCCATTCACAGTTCATTGATTCTGAAGCACCTTTAATTGCTTCCACTTAACATGTTTACATAAGTAATACAAGTTTATATGTTCTTTTCCTAACTCCAGACATAGAAATAATACATGCAAACAAATAGGATGAACACACTCAGTAGATCATAAGCTTTGTAATGATACCTTACAAGAGACCTTTTGCATAAAGCATATTCCAGTTACATTATATTCACACTCATAAGTATATTTCCATAAATATATGGAGTGCAACGTCACACTTTCCATCTAGATTTTGTAGGCAGACCTTTGACAGTATGAGATTGTACTGTATCAATGCTGGGGTAGATAAGGACATGTGACCAGCCAGAACATACCCCACACTCCTCCCCACAATATTATGTCTGTCTGCCAGTCTCAACTTGCCCTACCCACCACTGAGCTATGAGGTTCATTTTCCATGTAGTTCCAAGAAAGATCCTGTTAAATCACTGTACCACATCTGGCCCTGATCCCAGACTGGGCAAGGGTATGACCAGAAGCAGAAATGTCACGCCCTATAGAGAGCTCTGTGGCTGCACATGTGACTGCCTCTATTTTCTGTAACTGTTGCTATGTCCACCTCAGAAAATGGTCACCTTTCTCATAACTTTCTGTCTCATACAAATATTAACAGACAATGAGGAAAAGATGTATTGCATAAAAAATTGAGCTCTGTTTTCTTTAAAACCGTTAGCCTCAACAATCCAATTGCATAACGGTGCCTATTGGTTCGGGCAACAATAATGCCCACTTGGAACAGATATTCTCCGGAAACAGTTGGTTCTCTTTAGCTAACTTCTTATTGTCTTCAGTCAAGTCAAGAAAGTACTGATCCTGCTTGTTCAACTCACAAATCGTGTTGGGTAGAATCCATTCTTCACCCTGAATTGGAGTACTGTAGTCAATGTTGCTGTACCACTAGCTGAGAGATCAGTTGGTAATGAAGGACTCCAAAATACGGAGCGTGTAGAGGTCAGGGCAGCCTTGAATTTCTTGAAAAATCAGTAGCTCCTGAACAACATTATTTATTATTAAGGCTATGATTTTGTCATGGTTATTTTTAGTAAAAGTCATGGACAGGTCACGGGCAATAAACAAAAATCCACAGAAGCCATGACCTGTCTGTGACTTTTGCTGCTGTGGCTCCATGGTTTCCCCCACCACTATGGTGGCTGGGAGCTGTGAGGTTCCCCCTCTGCCCACAGTGGCTGGGAGCTGCAGGGTGACCATATTTCCCAAAGAGAAAATGGGACACCCCAGCCGCTTGCCCGAGGCGTCCCCCTTCCCCCCACATTGCAAGGCTGTCGCCTGTTGCCGGAACCCTGAGGAGGGCCCCCTCAGGAGTCTGTCGCCTGTCGCTGGAATCCTGCCAGGGCCCTGCTGGCTGTCAGCTCCAGAGTCCTGCAGCCCCTGAGGCTGAATCAGAGAATGTCATGCAGGTCTCTGGAAGTCACACCTTCCGTGACTTCCATGACCTCCATGGCATAAACGTAGCCTTATTTATTATCGATAGTTCAGGACAAGAAAGAAGTGGCATGGTTTTATGGAATAACTACCGCAGACTTTGGTGTTGGCTCTCAGAATCGAGAGTCCTGTAGCTAATCAGTTCATTTTATCATCCATGCTGTTTCATATATAATCCGTGTATGCTGAATAGATTTAAATTGTAGGATTATAGATTTTTCACTCTGATCCTGAAACTGTAGCAACAAGAGTGGAACCCTGGTAGTTTAATACAAAATCACTAAATTTAATTTAAATCAAGTCTACAGGTAGCCAATTATTTTTTGTCAAGGTCCAAATTTCTTGGTTAAGGTATAGTCAAGGTCCAGACTCCAGAAAAAATAATAACAATAATTGTGATAATAAGTAAATAAAAAGATTTCAGGGTCCATTCAAAAGTGTCTGGCAGTCTGGATTTGGCTTGTGGTCTGCCTCTTTACTACATCATCTCCCCTTGAGGTTGTTTTTGAAACTTCAGTTGACTTCACTGAGCCTGATGCTATTGACATCAGTGGGCTTTGGATCAGGCCCATGACAGCAAAATCAAGTGACTGAATAAGCATTGATTCTCACCATTGTGGATATTGGCAAAACTCCCATTGACTTTGGAATGAGTCTACCAGCAAACAGCTATCAAATAGGAAGTTCAGGACCTAATGATCTGAGACAGGATTTGAACCTGCATCTAGAGATTGAAAAGATTGATAGCCCATTCCAGATTCCTGAATCATTGAATTTCCTCAGTGGATTGCTTTCTAAACTTTATAAAGTATTATGGAGAACATATGAATCAAAGAATGAGAAATGGGAAAGTAGCAATGTGATATTTGAGGAAGAGTTTCCAATTCTTCATATGATGTGTAAGGTGAGAGGGAGTAAATACTAAATTTTATGTTGCTGGTTCTTATCTCCATGTAAGATAAAGATAAGCTGTAGAATGCTTGATGGTCTGATATTAGGCTATTGAACAAAGGGCATTTTCATTCTAAATTATTTGAAGTGCCCAGTTGCACAAATGTACTAAAAATAATTATACAGCAAACAAAAAAAACAACTCCCTAAATTATCATAAGATTCTATTACCCTGCGTGACCAGTGGCGGGAACATTTAAAGGCTGCTTCTAATTTCCCATTTTAATTGCAACCTGCGCTGCTTTGGTTGCTTATTTGTTTGCGGAGGCCGGAGGAAAGAGAAATATTCAGCATAGTCCTACATTAGTATGAATGGATTTGGGACACTTTGGTAATGGGAGAAATCTCAGATGAGAAAACAAAGGTTGAAGGCCCCTTCTCCCTGCTCTATCAGTTTTGAAAATGAGTAAAATGGAAACTGAACACCTAGCCAAATGTTTAGAAATATTTAGATTTTGAATCCTCTTGACCACTGTTTATGTAATGCTGTCTCTTGAGTGGCCATATTCCCAATGTGTGAGGGGGATATAGCACGCAGTCCTGCAAGATGCTGAGCACTCAGGTCCCAATCCAGTAAAGCACAGGCTTAACTTTAAGCACATGAGTAATCCTGTTGGCTTCAATGAGATTATTCAGGGACTTACAGATATGCATGTCCTTAAATACTGGAACAGGGCCAGAGTGCTCAGCACATTCAAAGATGGAGGCAACAGAATATGTATTGTTTAAATGCAGTGGGATACAAGAACCATTTGATAATTGTAGCAGATTTCATGTATTAACCAGCAATGAATTTGTTTTTGTTGTTTCCCTAGGTGCCATTACTGCAAGTCGTCTTGCCACGTGTCATCCCTGCGCATTCCATATGCCTGTAAACTATTATTCCAAGAACTCCAGTCTATGAACATTATACCCAGGCTAAAATTGGCCAAGTACAATGAATGAGCCAGCAAAACAAAGACTTAAGAAGAAATTTAAAAAAATGTGCAGAACTGGAAGGAATTTCTGTGAAAAGGAGTGACTGTTAAAACTGAGGGGGTGGGGGAGGGAGGGAAGAGTACTGATGAATTCCTTATTATTTTCCCTCTGCTATTTTAAGTTGATTGAGAGACTGTGCTGCAGAGAACGTCAAGAGCAATTGGTGGGGACTCAGGCAGCCTGGATGAATGAGATGTGTAGCAATTGTGTAATAAGGCCCTGATCCAGCAAAGCACACGTAACTTTTAAGCATGTGATAGTCATGCATTCAGGATGCAAGTGCTTCTTTGGATCAGGGCTTAAGTTTTATTAACTACAGTGGTTTATCCATATTACTTAAGTATTAGTTTAATTTTTCCAGACAGACAGGGTATGAAAGACTAATAAAAATTTTTTCAAGTATATTGCCTGTGTTTTGCTTTCATGACCAATTGTTAATGTTGTAAAAGATGGTATGGTAAGTACTTTGAAGGGTCAAAACTGCTAAATTTGTTGTGCTGAAGCATTTATTTACAATCTTTAGACAGTTTGGAGAGACTAAACTTACTTTCTGGAAAACTTCAATTCAACCTTTTTGAACAATATTTTCCTAAGCAAATAAAAGATGCATGTGTGTGAGGTGTAATACAAATATAAAGTCAAATGCTGCCTTCAACTAGGCATACACAACTTCCAGGGAAGTTTGAGAGTGGATTGCATGCATGCATCGGAGGGCAGAATTTGGTTTATAGAGACAGATTACTATTTTGATTCTTATTGAGTACAATATTTTAGTACATAATAGCTTGCCTTCCAAGGGTTGAAGGCCTGAAAAAAATGGATACAAGTGTTATAGCTAATAATGGAGAGTCTCCCAGGATGTGTTTAAAAGAAAAATTGGGATTTTAAAATTAAACTTGACAAAGCTTTAGAAAATATACTGTAAAGGACAATCATGCGCTGGAAGAGAGACAGACTTGAGTGACCGAAGAAAATTTAGAGAAGGAAAAAAAGCTGTGCTTCTGTTAATGGGATACAGGGCCTAAGAGCTAAAGCAGTGGGTGGAATTAATACTCTGAAGTCACTTGGGCCCTGATTCAGCAAAGGATATAAGTACATCTTAATTTTAAGCACATGACTAGTCCCACTGAAGTCAAAATTAAGCATGCACATTGTTGGATCAGGGTTTCAAGGTGCATCAGAGAGAAATAGCTGAACAGTCTGGATCACAAGCAAGAAAGTAAAATATTAGCTGCATAGTGGAGATCTTGAGAGACACATCAGCCTCCTGAATGGCCAAGAAATTTCAATAAACTTGTCTTCCTTATTTTCTTGCATACATTTTCTGATGAGGTGCTACTGGACTGGCTCACTATTTTTAGCTGCTTCCCAAACATTTAGATCAGTAGCTTTGTGTCTGGGTTAATGAACCAAGTCTGAGCAATGAGACTCACAAATGAGGGGGTGGATCTCTCCTTTTCTTTGCATTCAGAGTAATAACAGTCTGGATAATTCAGAGAAGAACATTTGGACCTGGAAAGGTTTGGGTGTTTTGGTTTTTTTAGTCACCTACACTGTGACCTGAACAACAAGATGCTATTAACAAAAAGTTAAGGCATGTACAAAATTGTACATTGTCGTCCCCCCCCCCCCCCCAGGGTAACTTATGAGCCACTGCTCTACCCAAATTATCTTTCTGCTGCCAGGCTGTGAGAAGGGGGCGGGAAATTAACAAAAAGCCCTGGCCAAATAAGTGCAACTACATTGTTCCCAGAGACTGCCAAATTGAGGCTCTGGTGGACCACCAGAGGGAGTGAGCTTCAAATGCTAGGGCCTTCCCCTGAGAGAGCTCTGGCCTGGGTCCTGGAAAATATAGTCTGACTGAGGTGTTCATGCTGCCTAGTTCTGTCTTAATTGCTGTGATTCAGGGCTCTGAAGGTTGTAAGCAACATCTAAAATTGTATCTGCAAATCAACAGGTAGCCAGAGTAGAAATCGGAAGGAGCAAAGGAATGTGTTCATAACAACCTACCCCTTTCAGAAAGCAGGCTTCTTGTGACCTTAAAGGGTAGCCTTAAGAGTATGGTCCGGCAGTTGAGCTTAGAGATGCAAGGTCATGGGATAATGATTGTGAGGCCTGTGCTAGAGAGGTAGGAAAGATGGGTAGCCAAAGATGAGGGAGAAAAGGCAGTACAGGCCCCAGTAGCGATCAGAAATCTCTAGCATTGATACATCCAGTAGAATGCAGAGACTATAAACAGTTTTGGCAATAGGCAGGTGTATCTCAATAGATTGTATAGATGCTGCCTCCACCAATACCACTAAAACTGTTCCCCAACTATAAGCACCTACCACTGTGTTGTCCAGGTAAAGTCAAATCCAGGTTTCTTTCATCTAGATCTGCCTCTCATACAGTGGGAGAGTAATAAGACTGTAAAATTCGGCTGAATTCAATATTTTACTACCTATGTTTACACCCTGTGTTTTAAGAATGATCACCTACATTTACTGACCTAGTAAGACACTTTGGAATAATACATGGTGCTATGTATGATATCAGCACTACAGAGCAAATATAAGAAACAATGTGAGAACTGTTTATAGACTAGGTCCTAGGATATGCTTCTCATGGTAGAGGTGCTGGGGTAGAGGATCCCAGTCTACTGCCCTCAGAAAAACTATGCTTTGAAATAAGCCCCTCAAGTTGCTACCCTACTTTCAACTGAGAATCTCATCCTTGCAGCTCCGTGGAACTAGCATGCAGTATTCAAAAAGGAATTTGAAATGCTGTATCTGTCCGCATTCTGCAAGTTGATCTTTCCTTTGTAAAGTGAAATGGCATCACACACAGTTCTAAGGTCAGCTGATGACTCCCGTGCTATGACTGGGCTTCCTCAAAACAGCCGTGTAATGACTTTTTGTCTAATCACTGAAGGAGATGTAATGTTCTAAACAAATACTTGATCTTAGGTCTTTCGTACAGGGTACTGTGGTTAGGAAACTGCGCCATAAAGTTTTCATTCTATTCCAGCTTCTTTATTTCTTCCTACTTGGTGTCCAGGAGAATCTTTTTACCAGAAGTCCTATTCAACATGAAGGTCACTAGTATTACTCCCAGCTGAAATGCTGAACACAATCCACTTTCCAGCACAAGCAAACGTGTATTTTGCTACTAGCTGGGATACCTACCCTATAAATCATTTTAAATCATCCCATTTATTTTGAGAATACAAGGATTTGACAGTATTAAAAATGTAGAATTGTTAAACTTAGTTTCCAGCCCAGACTTCCGTAATCAAGTCTATTATTGCACTGCAAAATGAAGTCTGGGTCCACATGAATGAATTGAAAACCATCCCTTAAAATACCATAAATGTCTAGCCATGCTGTGTAATTATGAGGAATAAAATTAAATAAGAAGGGTGCTAAACGATGTTTAGGTGCAGTTCATTCATAAAATCCAGAACTTGTAGCTGTAATTGAAGCTGGGTTTAGCTAATCACTTGTTCAGGCTTTAAAAAAACAGCCTCATTATAGGGCCATTCACATCATTAAAAGCACCTTTATAAAAAATTTCAGTGAAGTTTTTATGTAAATGTTCCCAAATGCTCCAGCATTGTGCTTGTGCCTTGTAACCAGAAAGTGAAATTAACTATAAACAAAAGTGAAACTGGCTAATCTTGTTTCATTATTCATGCAGGATGTTGTGCAAAAAGTGCAAATACATAGTGAAAAGATTTTTTTCAACATTTTTTAAAAATAATCTAAATGTAATAATATTAGGTTAAATTGGTTTGTTTTTAATGTATTTGTCTTCAGAGATTATAAGGCCAGAAGGAACCGCTGTGATCATCTAGTCTGACCTCCAGCATAACATAGGCCATAGAACTTCCTGAATTAATTCCTCTTTGAACTAGAGAATATACATTAGAAAAACCCTCTAATCTTGACTTTAAAATGTCCAATGATGGAGAATTCACCTCAGACCCTTGGCAATGGCAGAGTCTCCTTTAAACATATATTTGGGATATATAAGTGGATAGCAGCAATGGCCACAGAGTAGGTGTTACTTTTTGCTGCTTATAAGCCCAGGAGAACCACACACACATATTCTTGTCCTGATGAGAAACTGAAAACTGCCCTCGATAATTACTTGCATTTCTTGATTTTAAAATGAAATGATAAAATCCGACACTTTCCACAGGAAAAAAAGCTGTTTAAAAGTGTAATGCTTATTTTAAGGACTAATGAAAAGGTTAGAGGTTTTTTTTTTACTTCTTTGGCAAATGCACCAGTAGAAAGGGTGCCGCTGGCCCCGTGCCCTCTGTTTCTTCTTACCGCACATGACGGTTGCTAGAACGACCCTTTTTGCTGTACTAAGGCTTCTTTCCCAGTGGTTTGGACTTTCTCTGTTCATATTTAATATGGAGATATATCCATCTCATAGAACTGGAAGGGACCTCGAAAGGTCATGGAGTCCAGTCCCCTGCCTTCACAGCAGGACCAAGTACCATCCCTGACAGATTTTTTGCCCCAGATCCCTAACTGGCCCCCTCAAGGATTGAACTCACAACACTGGGTTTAGCAGGCCAATGCTCAAACCACTGATAGTTATTGCAGTCAGTGTATATAGTTCTTAGTTAGTGTATATAGTACTGTTAGTAGCTGTCCCTGTCGTTAAGAGACTCGTTGCCCAAGGGCTGGGCATGCTCTGGTCCCTGGGCTTCAAGCTGTGTGCCTCGTGCAGCAAGCCGACGTCAGTGAGTGACCTGCACACTAGCTGTCTAAAGTGTCTGGGGGAGTCTCACATTAAAGAAGTGCCAGATCTGCAGGGACTTCAAACCCCGCACGAGAAAGGATAGTGATATTCGGCTGAAGGCCATTCTTATGGCGGCGGCCCTCAGATTGGCCTTGGAGCTGAGCCCCTCTGAATCGGTGCGGAGCACCTTGACATCCGTGCAGAATGCTCCGCCGGCACCGTGCTCTTCCCGGCACTGCTCCCCATCCCTGGTGCTGAGGAAGAGGCATAAGAAACAACACACCAAGAGAGGACATTCTCCCATGCAGAGGAGGAACAAGAGGGGAGTGACTAGCATAGGGAGACCTGCATCAGACTGCTCATCCTCCCTGGAGCCTCTGATGATGCCATTGACTCTGCCTAGGTGCTGAGTCCAGTAGGGGACCTGCCACCGTCTCCCGGGAGCAGCCACGGGGTCAGGCATCTGCTGGCCCCTTCGATCCAGGAGGCTGTCCAAGGCGCAAAGGACCTGTGTCCCTCCCGATTCTGCCGACCCCTCAAGGCCCCTTGACAGCTAAGGTACTGGGGACAAAAAGGAGCAAGGTGCAGCGAGAGTCACCATGGCACTGACCACTGCAGCACTGTCCGGGGCAAGCCCTCCATGGTCCCGAGGCACTGCCCAGAGG